ATCAGACCAATATCTACCATTTTGACTGATTCTATATGCATGATGCAATGCACTCTAGTATCGCCAAAGCATGTTTTTTCTTGTTTTCTTTTTGTTTAAGGTAAGAGGCGGTACCTGAATAATCGGTCATTCCATGTGCAATAACGTGCAGAAATTTTTCATTCACAATTTGCTCAGTGAGGACGAATTATTCGCCTCTAAGTATGAGTTTCATTCACTGTATGAGTTAGCATACTGGTTAACCGCATTTATAGATTATTGGTCTTCTCTGACTCATAAACAAAACAACTTCTACTTTCTTTTACATATTGTAAATATACAATTCTATTTTCAGATAGAGAGGTTGCTATCCCTCAATGGGGAGAATTTGAAGGAATGGTAGTGACGGTGAACATTAAAATGCCAAACCATCTGCTCGATTCCAAAGTGTATATATATATATTTCACACTTGTCGGAGGACAGACTGTGTGCCAAACAAATCATAGTACAATAATCTTTATAAAAAGAAAAATGTTCCATGATTGGCTTGTGGGCTGAGTACTGCCAGGTTGCCCAGGCCAAGGCAAGTGAATTTTTTTGAGGAATCCACAACCAAAGCCTTCGGCTAGCCAAAGCCTGACCCGCAAGGCAGCGGGGCGGTGTGCGAAAACCGCAGTCCATTGGGAGCCGGTGTCCAGTTCATCGGATCATACGCCCTTCGGACGGGGTCAGACGTCCAAGGTGCCCAATACACCTCAATGCCCAATCGAGCCCGTGACCACTGCCACAACCGAAAAGGTGTGGGTGTGGTTCGTACGTCTCCTCATGGTTGGTTTGGAATCAGGGTTTTTGGCCAACTCCCCTAGGTGAACTGCCAGTGGTCCACCAACCCGGCTATAGCCCCGGATATCGGCTTTTCATTCTCTTACTTTGGTGGGAAAACACCTCCACCGCGAGAAGGCAGTGAGTAGGGCTTAAGAGGCAGCAGCAGAGGCTATTTGAGACGCTTGGTCGTATGGGGGCATTTCGTGAGGTGCAAGGGCAGGGTGACCAGCCGTAACCCTAGACACCCACCCCCAACCATACTGAGGCCTTGGGAGGCGATTCCAAAGTGACCTTGGTTAGGGTCACTGTCATCAAAACAGAACATTTACCGAGAAGAATAACGATCTGGTCATCATCACCAGCAAAACTACGCTCAGAGTGATACCCGACTTATCCAACTCACTCAGGTCTGTACAACCCAGGACCGGTTTATTATTATTATCATTATTATTATTATTATTACAGTGAACCTAATTTTCGAAGTGTCCGCTTCATTTTACGACCACCATTTTCTAAGGATAACTAATCTCTCGCTCACTCGCTCTCCAGAATGGACACAAATACATACTTTGGAAGCACTATTGGCACCAACACATCCGATAGACTTCACAAATTGAGTTGGGCGTTGGTAAACTACGACAATTACCATTTCACGCTCGCAAGCTCAGACCCCACTACTATATATATAGGTTACTGTAACGAAAATACACTTCCTGGGTACAAGTATATGAATGAACTGACAAAAGATTACCGGATACGCATGCCTGACGAGCGGCAAGAACCGCGAAACCGGTCGTATTCTTCCAGGTAAATTTTGTCCAGTCATTCGCATACTACTTATTATCAAATATAAATATATACTTATTGTATGTTTGTGCAGTCTGCTCACTGTTCGGTAGCTCCGGATACAAAAGGGACCGAATTTCATCGGATACACCTACATATCATTTTAGTTCTTCTACTGTGAAAGTTCATGGCGGGAAAAAACAAATGAAGAATAGTTAGGTTTCTGAGAAATTATTTGACAGTGCTCACTACTTTTGATGTTCCCTGCAGAATTTGAATCGTGAATCTTCGAGCTGAGGCCAGAAACTCTTGCCGCTAAGTTACTATCACCACAGGGAGGTTTGTTAACTCCAATAACTGGTTTTGTTGGATGTATATGATCGTTTTCTAATCTACTGTGAACAATTTGGGTGAACACATACTGATGCTTTGGAAAAACCATTATGGCAGTATCCAGTTTATAAACTCGCGTGAAACATGGTAACCCCTAGAGATTGCATTGCTTTCCAGTCTCTCCTAGAGGATATGTTAGACAATGAGTATTTCGTACCCATGCCTTCATCCATCCAACCACATGCGCACAAAACAAGACAACAAACGAGACAACAGCAACAACGTACAACAGACAGACAGACA